GTGTTGGCTCTGGGTTTTGGGGGGCTTCTGGGCAAAGAATCCTCAATGGCTCCCTTCCTGTGTGAGTTTGCCTTCTCAGCTACGGTGGTACCTCATTCTCCCCTTTCTCACCACCGCTTCCACTCAAGCACTGGATAGGTGGGGCAGCCGTGCTTAGAGAAGCAAGTGAAGAAGCAGTGGGAAGAGCAGGAACAAAGCCAGAACTTGTCGCTTGGCCCCTGTGGAGGTGTGGACCCTTGCCAGGTGCCCAACCATACCTACTCTTGACAACGGCCTCGACTTTAGTTGTGCACCAGTAAACCTTGGTATGTGCCCAACTTGATTTCTGATTCATTCTACTGAGATCAGCTGGTCTCAGCATCCCGATAGGCACTTTTATAGAACAGGGGTTGATGACTGTTCCAGACATCATGGTGGGTGATAAGACGGGGTGGTGTGTTCAGAGAGTGGAAGCAAGTGGGGTAGAGTGGCCCGGGGCCTGCACACTCTCACTTGCCCCTCCGATAAAGCAGGTCGTGCAGGGTTTTACAATATTTCAAAGCCCACAAAACCTGTTTGGTCAGTGGCTGGACTAGGGACGAAAAGGGGAGGAAATCGCATCCACAGCCTTCCTACCTTAAAGCAGGGGTTCTCAGAACGAGGTCCCCAGAACATTGGTAGTGCCCAGGCTCCATTCAGGAGATCTGTCAAAAGGCGATGGAATAGCTGAAAATACTTGTAGCTCTTGGCCCTGCAGTAGCTTTATTTCTTCTAATGATGGAGACGGAGTCCATTTTGACTGGGTTACTGAAGAAGCTAAGACTTGTCCTAGGGCCCACGGTGCTGGGTTTTATGATTGTGTTAGTAAAATATAAGTTATCTACATGCTTCGATTTATAGAAAAAAGGGGTATGTTACATTTTCAAGTGGTCTGGAGGGTGGAATGGAGAACTTCTGTGCTAGCCAGAGAATCTGTTTTCCCTGATCTGTGGAAGCTGAGAGTCCATTCTGCAAGAATGCATTATAGTGTACAACACGTACTTTGTGAATCTTGTTAATGCAGGGCAGGAAGCAGGAGGAAGCGATTATTCAATCAAGAACATACCTTCTAGCACGGGGACCACAGTTCTTCTCTTTTCTTTTAACATAAGAAATTAAGAATTAACATAATACACCACCGAGTAAGGCAATGGGGAAGAATAGCATGGGAGCAGCTTTTGCCTGTTTTCCTGGCACACCACTTTCCCACTGAAAATTGCACACAGCCGCAGCATCTTCCACCTTCACTTGGGAAAACACACGTGTCTTCAAAAGGCTTGGCTTTCTGATTAAGATCCATGAATGTAAAATAATTTGAGATGTTTGGACAACACGTAATAGATCCATCCGTTTTCAGACCACCTTCCCACACATCCTTCTCCAGGGGGCTGGTCCAGCCATGAGGTAGAATAAGCTAGCAGCTTCAGGCATCAGACGGTACCTAAGCATCGCCTCCCCAGCTGCTCCTCTCAGGCGGTTCCCACATGAGGGGAATTTTTGCAAGTTTCTTGCTTGGACTGGTCGTCTATCTTACCTAGTTGCCTTCTTCCAGCCCTGCTACAGACAGCACTATTTGGAAAGACCCAGAGGTAGAAATCTAGTTTGGTTTTGCATCCATGCTGTTATGCACATCTCCGGTCTTTTTTGGCATTTCCTCTTTTTGGGAAATGCAGCTGTTGCTTCCCCTACCGCCACCCCCACCCACCTCACTGCTCTTCTGTATTTAAGGAGTCTTCCCCAGCGTGGTGCCTTCCCAGTATGTATTTGGGAACTCTCAGGATTCCTGACTGTTAGTCATGCCATCAAGGGCTGATTTCCATGAAGTCCAAAGATTTTGAAAGACACCAGGTTAAGAAAAGCTAATATAATAGAATTAACTCAGCTTCCTCCCTCCTCACTCGGTTCTCTCCCATTTCTCCTATCATCATCCTGTTATGGTCCACCAGTGTTTATGTTGCCTCCCGGCTCCTGCCATCTTTTCTCAGGCTGCCAGTAATCCAGATTAAATAAATAATAATGGCAACAGATCAGTAACACATTCTCTGCAAGAGATCCCTCTTTTAGAAATATATTTTAGACATATGCAGTAGTCACATATGAGGCAAGTTACTCTATTCGGCTCACCTTTGCTTTTTGCTCTTTCATCTACCATTTTAGCAGCTTCCCAAATACCTCCAATTCAATCTATAAACACATTTTATTTTAAACATTTTATAGGTCATTACTGTAGCTAGGCAGTTGCACTTAAATAAATAAGTGATTTTTACAAAATTATTCCTGTTTAAAAATGGACAAACTAGAAAAGATGCTTTAAAAAGGGTGGCTGCTTTGGTGAATTGCATTTTCTCCTTTCTGGCCCATGCAGCTATGCCAAGCTCACTAATATGAAAGGGTCACAGCAGCTGCTGCAGAGAAGAAAAAGTGCAATACCCCCATTAGTGTGGAAGTTCAATCAAATTCTTTTTGTAGTTACAACGATTTGGAAACATGTAGGGCTTTTCTGCACAAGGCATTTATTGTGGACTTGCGATTCCTTCCTCGTGGATGTTTACAGGCACTTAGATGATCCTCTGCTCATCCAGTTTCTATGCCACTGTGGTGGAATGGTTGGAGGACTGACCTGCTACCTGGGAGATCCAGGTTCTGGTTCCTGCTCAGTCGTGAAGTTCAGTGAGTGATGTTGGACCAGTTGAAGACTTTCAGCCTAGCGTACCTGAGGGTTGCTGTTGCGGAGATAAAGTGGAAACGTGAAGAACCTTGTGAAGCCACTTTGGGTTCCTTGCTAGAGGAATGAGAAAGGCAGGGTATCTGGATAATGCCACGACAGCTTCCGCATAGATTTAATCAGATGCTTGGCTGTCCCACTGAAGTCGATGAGGCCAAGAAAATATGTAGAACCGAACTGGATATCACTATTTGAATGGGTAAGAGCTGCCCACTGAAACTGATAGGTTGTAGAACATGCTTAATTTTGGCCGGGTTGAATGTCACAACCATATAGAGAGCAGGACCATTGCTTGCAGACTTGGGGTTTGGGGGACAAAGTGCTGGCAGCTGCCTGAGTCATCACAGCTTAATTGTATACAAAATGGCCCTTGCAGGGTTGAAAGGTCGTATTTGATGTGTCTGTTCCTAATGAGGAATCCAGGGGTAGAAGTTTGCCAAGACCAAGAATGACTTGAATTCTGAGCCTTTGCCCTCATATTAAGGCAATTACCGACAAATCTGAATTCCCCGCTTTCCAAGGGTGATAGACTTATGTATCTAGGCAACAGGAAAGAGTTCTGGCTTTTTCCAGGCAAGGCTGTTTGGGCCGATCATGCACAGATGCAGAGGTGACGCCTTTGCCCTTCTAAGAACATGTTGGCTGAATGGGAAAATAAACGTTCCTGCTGTCATTTTGATATTTGTATTGCCATTGCACAGAAAGAGCCAGCAAATTTGAGGGGCTGACAGCCCTATTTTTCAGTGTACTCCTCATAAAATGCATCCTGAGATTAGTAAACCAGTACATAAAGAAGACAACCTGGGGACAACTTAGAATCCACTTTTCTCCCTCTTTTGCTTGTTTACTATATGCCAGAATCTTCGATACACAATCTTCAGTGGTCCATTCCAGCAGCCTACCAGCCGCAACTCAAAGAATTTGTAAATCGAGTCAAATCACACAAGGAAGGATGAGATTGTGCAATCATTTTCACAGTATCTACAGAACTATATTTATCCTTCCAATCATGCCACATCAGAGGTATGGTATCCAGTTCTGGGTACCACAGTTTAATTGGAGCATGTCCAGAGGAGGGCATTCAGAAGGTGAAACGAAAGTACGGAAACGAAATCCTGTGAGGAACAGTTGAAAGAACTGAGTACATTTACACTAGAGAAGATTGTAGAATCACAGAATAGTAGAGTTGGAGGTGACCATGAAGGCCATCAGGTCTAACCTCCTGCTGTTGCAGGACACCAGTTTACACCATCCCACTCAGTTGGCTGTCCAGTTTCTTTTTGAATGTCTCCAGCGTGGGAGAGCCCACCGCCTCTTTAGGCAGCTGGTCCCACTGTTGTATTGCTCTGACAGTGAGGAAGCTTTTCCTGATGTCCAGCCTGAATCTGGGTTGTCGCAACTTGAACTGATTATTCCATGTCCTACACTCTGGCATCGGCAAGAAGAGATCTTGACCTTCCTCTTTGTGACAGCCTTTGAGGTGCTTGGAGAGGGATATCATGTCCCCCTTCAGTCTTCTCTTCTCAAGACTGAGCATGCCCAGTTCCCTCAGTCTCTCTTCACAGGGCAGCGTTTACAATCCCTGAAGTTCTGAGATATCTGAAAGTCTGACATGCAGAAGATGGAGCAGAGGGCAGAACTAAAACCAGTAGAAATTACAGGACAGCAGATGTCAGCTAAACATTAGGAAAAACTTCCTAAGAGCAGGCATGTTTGGCTGTGGAGCAGACTGTTTTGGGAGATGGCGGGCTCTTCTCCACTATTGGCATTTAAGTAGAAGCCAGATGGACACCAGGCAGTGTTGTAGGTCCTGCATTAAACAGAGGTTGGACTAGTTCACATCTGGGGTCCCCCAGCTGCATAATTCAATTAACTAGCTGGCTAGTACTGTTACTGCCCTTCCAAGCATTTCATGGCTTTAAAGCCCTTTGTCGTCTTTATCTACATAAAATGCCAGGTCATTCACTGAGGCCATCTTTGCAGGGCCTCTGCTGGGTAGCTCTGCTGATTGAGGTATATATAGCAGGCTGCAAACTGGAAGAAGGCCTTGATAGTAATGGCACCCCATTTGTGAAGCACTATCTCAAGGAAAGCTTGCTTGGCATCTGCACTGTTAGACTTTTCAGTGCTAAGTCAAGACTGTTTTATTTTCCCAGGTTTTCAACAAAGCACTTCAAGATTATAATCCTTTTAATTTCATTAGTACAATGTGTATTTTTATCTTTCATGATGCTGACGAGAGAAGAGAGATTATAGATTTGTAAGCTGCCTTAGACTTTTATTTGAAAGCTGGGATATAAATGCCTTACTAGCTGAACTCTCTAATCTGTTTTATCCTATCTGAATATAGTTAAATGCATCACAATAGCAACCTAGGCTGGCCCCATTATGAGGCAGAATGAGGCAGTTGTCTCAGGCAGCAGATGACTGGGTTGGGGAGACAGTAGCCCCCCTGACTGTTCCCCCTGCGGGAAGGCAAAGCTGGATGTGTCAGGCAACCCGCCCTGTACCCACAAAGCTGATGTACTTCCTTCAGCTGCTGTCCCATCATCACTGTTGAAGTTGTTCAACTTCCGTCTGGTTGGCTTCATGGAATAGGGGAACATCATTCCAGCTCTTCACTTGAAGCAGCAAAAGGTCTTGGGTTGTTGTTGTTGTTGTTGTTGTTGTTGTTATAACATTTCTATGCCGCCCCTTCTTGATCCTCAGTTTTTGGAAGCTGTGGGCAGGAAAGCAATACTCCTTTTTCCTTCTGTTCTGTCAGCATCTCTCAGCTGCATTTATTTACAGAAGAGCATGAACTTAATGCTGATCCACTTAAGTCTCCAGCCCCACCTGGTGGTGGGAGACTCTCTTAGAAACCTGGGCGATGGACCAGATCTTTTCCAGCCTATTTCATTTATTTTACTTGAAGGCTCAGACCCTACAGAGTATGTCCCCCTGCTCTCCATGGCCTTACTTCTGAATAAGTAGTAAGGATTTGATTGAACTTTTGAACTACGTGGAACTTCTTCAATGTCTGGATCTGATATAAACGTTTTAAAATTGCATTATGGGTGCTTCTGAATGCCACTTTGATCACCATTGCCCTGCCTTGTTCACAGAATTTAGCAAGGAAGCAGGTGATGACGTTTTCTCTTTGCCATTGTCTTCTTCTGATCCACAGGGAATCTGTAAAGGAAGAGAAGATGGAATGAGCACAACCTCACTCCAGGCTTCTGAGGGTCCTGGGCAAGACCAGTTCTGGGAATTCCTTAGGTATTATCAGCAACTGTTGCTCTTCGTAATCTTTTTCATCACTGCTGCCACTCGCTTACTTGGCAGACGGAGAGCTGGGGAGCACGGTGGCCCTGGCATCTGCTCGCCCCCCCTTCCGAGCACCACCACCGTGTGTGCCAGAGAGAGCCGCCGTTGAAGAAGCAGACTGCAGTACAGAAGAGGAGCAGAAACGGCGGAGAGCTCTCGCCACCTGGCCCCTCTCAGTGCGGCCCAAAGGCCGGGGTCCAGCCATGCTGAGTCCTGGCCTAGCTCTGAATGAGCCGCTCAAGCCTTCTGCTGGGTAGCACTGGAAGCCCTCCCTCTGGAAGTGGCTGCCGGGCCTCTTCTAAGCTGCAGCATGTTTTGCATTCAAAGAATGGCTTGACTGATCAGGTGGCATCTGCATCCATGTGGCCAGAGGTCTTTGGTTCTGCAAGGCCTGGTCCTAGAACCTGTGCTGTTCGACGGTTTTATAAAGCACTTGACGTAGAGGGATTGCTTACCCCAGATGGAAGGGATCGCTAACCGCAGAAGACAGACGTGCAATTTGGAATGCTCTCAGCAGGTGGGAGTGCTGGCCCAAAACCAACAAGATGAAATTTGTTACACTGGGTGATCTTAGGGAGCAATGCACTTCTAAAGGAGATGCTTGCCCAAGAGATTTGCTCAAACAGTTTTGAGATCTTTTGATCCAGAGAGAACATACTCTAGCTTTACATTCACCACTTAGAAAGTAAGGGATGTTTATTCAGTAGAAAATATAGAGCAGGTACAAGCTTTAACCCGATTTTGCCTAGGCTGCAAATATTCCTGTCGCTTCCCAGTCTTGCTCTGTATTTCTAAAGAGATAAAGAGCTTCCTACCTAACAGCCTTATAGATTGAGAGAAGCTAACAGGCCATGAGAGAGAGTCTGCCACCTCGTCTGTCAGTTGTCCTGTGCAATGGACTCTCAGGACCCGTCCTCTGTGCAGGCAGGAAAGCGTGCAAAGCCACATTCCAGGCCCGGTTGCAAGGTCTGTGTTCAGAGCTGCCCCCTTTCCATATCCCAAGTGTCCAGTTCTCATGCAGGTGCTGTGGCTTAGTTGGTTAAAGCGCCTGTCTAGTAAACAGGAGATCCTGGGTTCGAATCCCAGCAGTGCCTATGGGTTCATTCCTGCATTTAAAAAAAAAATGAGGCCAGCATGGCCTCCTCTGTCTCCTGGTGCCAACCTGGCGCTGGGAAGCAGGTTTTGTCCACTTGGGGAGACTGGAACTGATGAGGACTTGGGGGACCAATCTGTCCAGGATCCCAGCCTGGGACCAGATGCAGCCAGGGGGCCGCTGCAGGAGTGGCGAGGGTCGAGACACAGCCATCGTCTGCCACCAGGAACAGACAGTGGCAGGTGATCTTCATCGGGGACACCCTGCTAAGGGACACCTAGGCAGCAGTGTGCTGTTCTAACCTTGAGGCGAGGGAGGTCTGTTGCCTGCCAGGCACACTCATCCAGCATGTGACAGACAGAGTAGAGCATCTTGTTCCCTTGCGGGGGCGGGGGGGGGGTTACCAACTGCTTCTGGCGATCCATGTGGGGACAAATGACACAGCCAGGCAGGGGGCGGGTGGGATCACCAGAGACTTTGAGGAGTTTTGGGATAGACCAATGCCCTGTCCGATGGATTAGGGCATGGTTGACGGACCGAAAGCAGAGGGTAACCATTAGTGGGGAATCATCAGGATGGCGGCCAGTGACAAGCGGGGTCCCCCAGGGCTCTGTCCTGGGACCATCCTGTTCAATCTTTATATCAATGACATGGAAGAAGAGGTAACCAGTCTGCTGAACAGATTTGCAGACAATACTAAATGGGGGCAGTGCCCACAACTGAGGAGCAGGTACTCCAGATCCAGAAGGATTTGGGCAGCTGAAGAAAGTGGACAGGGGACAACAGGATGTGTTCAGTTCTGGGCTCCACATTACAGGAAGGATATAGCCAGGTTGGAGTCAGTGCAGCGCAGGGCCACAAGGATGGTGGCCGGTTTGCAGGGGATGCCGTATGAGGCGAGACTGAGGGAACTGGATCTCTTCAGCCTGGAGAAGAGGAGACTCTGAGGGGATCTGTTGGTGACATACAGGTACGTGAGGGGGTATCACACGGAGGTGGGTAGAGACCTGTTCTCCCCTGCAGAGGAAGGCAGGACCTGCTTCAATGGAGCCAGGCTCAGGGAACCAAGGTTCAACTTGGATGCCAGGAAGTACTTCCTGACAGTTAGGACCCCAGGGGTATGGAATGGGCTTTCATGGGAGGTGGTTGAGGAGAAATGTCTTGTGCCTGACCTTTTGTCTGCAAGAATCCCAGCATTCATTATTCACCATGTGCTCTGGCTATCCCAGAATAACAGGCCTCTCCTGAACTGAAGCGCAGCCAACGTGGCCATGGCCTGAGAGACTGCCTTGCGGCACGGCCTCGTGGCCTGGGAGCCCGAGTTCATGGCACTAATATTGATACAAATATTATATCAGCCATGATAAAGCCAGCCAGTCTCGATATAGAGACCACATCTGAATGCTAGAAAGGCACAAGGGGAACCACGCGGCAGTGGCACATGTGAAAAGGACCTACATGTCCTGGTTGCTGACAACTGGTACATGGCATAATGCCAGTGAAAAGGAAGTTGATAGCATCTTAGCTTAGCATCATGTCCAGCTCTCAAGAAATACTAATTCCGCTCTGATCTGCACTGCTCAGGCTGCCTCTGGGTCAGAGTGTGCAGTTCTGGGTACCACATTTTAACTAAAAGAGACAGTGAGAAACCGGGGTATTCTCAGAGTAAGGCCTCCAGGAGGGTGAAGGGTCCAGAAACCCATATGTACCTACCTGGACCCTAAGGTCATCTCCAGTCTTCAGGAACACAAACAAATGTTCCCCCATGGAACAATTTCACTACCACCACCACCACTGTAAGGTGCAGTCATGGAGGGTGTGAAAAGGATCTCTTGTGGATGCTGAAACATGCAGGGTAATCCCAGCACGATCTGGCCTAGGAACAGGTCTTGATTTTTTCTAATATTCACATCCCAGGAAAAACCCAGCAACAGCTTTGCTGTCCTCTGCTCTACCCCTCCTCTCCCAAGCAGTAAAATGAGGGGCAGCGCATCCTCTCAGCTGTGCGACTTTACAACATCAGTGTCTTCTTCCATTTAGAGTTTAGTAGCCGTGCCGCCCACATCCGCTCACCGGATCCAGGGTGAAGGTTGTCTGCACTGGCCTCAAGGGCAGTCTGCTTATCTCTTGACTGGACACTAAGAGACTGAAGCTGCTTTTGATCCATCTGACCAGGAAGCTGGCCTCTGTGAGCTGGCCTGGAGCAAGCAGTGGGTGAACAGGCTCTTTTGTTTTGCTTTGATTTGTGGTAAGCAAAGGCTGGAAGAACCACTTCCGTACCATGGCATGGTTTGATACTATCCCTCTGAAGGAGGTGGGGAAAGCATGCAGGTTCCAGAAGGCAGGGGTGGGCAAAAGTAGATTTCCAGATGTGTTGGATATCTACTTCAAGACGCCCATGTCACCATAATCAATGATGAGGAAAGCTGGGAATTGGCGTCCAAAACATCTGGAGATGTGTTTTCTGCCCATTCTTTTTTCAGGCAGCCTTGGTGTCTTCCCAAGGTGCTGGATCACGAACCCAGTATCCGCTGCCAGAACAGAATCATGGAACAAGTCCTGGGTGTTGACACTCAAACTATTTACACCAAAACTGCATTGCCCATTAAGCATTATTTTGTCCCAGCAGATGGCAGTGCTGTCTTTTCTGCTTCTGATGCGTTTTGGTCCAGTTCTGCATTCTGCATCACATTTTGAAAACTGTCCTATGAAAGTTATCTTCTTTTGCACCCTTTCTGGTAACGTAGTTTGACAAGTTCACAGTTTAGTGTGCTCATATAAAATAGACAGGAAAGTTTCCATAGAGCTGGAGCTGTCAATAGCTGCTTCTCGCACTGAGATCTGCTGAAGAGCTCTCCCTTTGCTTCCTGGAAGGCTAACAAAAGTCCTTGTATTCTTTTATAGAAGCACTTTGGCCTCTCTCCACTGAAGCTAGGAAGCGCTGCCTGTCGTACTAAATACATTTATTGCCCTAATAAATCATGCCTGCAATAGAGTTGGGAATAATGTCCTATAGATTTCAATAACTGTCTGACCAGGCAAGTTGATATAGTGGCTAATTTCTGAAGTAACTAAACAATTGGGATGCCTGTCCTGGGGTTTAGCCCAGACACAACTTGAGTGGTAGGCAACCGAATGCCATCCAGATGTATCTGAGTACAATTATGAGCCCTAGCCAGCGTGGGAATGGTCAGGAATTATATATGTTGCCATCCGAAACATGGATATCAGTATATGTTCTGTCTGTCTACAACACTCAGTTTCACATACCACTGCACACAGTTAAATCCAGAGATGTGGCAATCAGGTGCTTTGTGACAGTGGTTTAATTTAGACATCACAATATACCATGGTTTATCGTGATGGGATGAGCTTAGCTACACCTTTCTCGTGTATTCTACTTCTCAATCCTCTGCAGCTTCAGATGCTTTTGCTACACACACACACACACACACACACACACACACACACACACACACACATATATATATATATATATATATAAATATCAAGCACAGCTTGTGGTATTGTCTGAACCTGACAACCTCTGCTTAATCTTAGCTATGTTAGTTTTAAAAAAATCCAACTTCAAACTGTGGCTTATGAAACTAACTGTATTTCAAGAAACCATAGTTACATTTAACCAGAGTTTAGGGTTTAGATGTAGGCCTTAACTCTGATTAATTGAAATTGGAAGCAAAAGCTTCCAGTCTCCTCTTCAGCTACCACTCCGAGTATTAATGGTAAGGAGGGAAAAATTTAATATGCTTTTTTCACACTCCACTCCAAAATCAGATCATCACACCCCATACAGACTGTTGCCAGTCTCATGTTTCTATGCAAAGGAATTCCCAAGAACCAGTTCAAGTAAATTCTTCAGCAACAAACCCAGGTCGAAAAGGTGGCTTTACCTTCAAGATTCCTATTTCAACCCTTAGATCACAAATTATTTTCTAGTGCCATAATGACAGCATAAGATTGTATTGCTGTTTTTAATCATGGCAATTTAACACAGAGATTTTTTTAAAATTCAGTAAGTGGAATGTAAACCTATTAAATGAACATCAGGTCCGTATGTCCCTTAGCCGCCCTTTTCTTGGCTTCCACTGTACCCCACAACTTGCCTGACTTCCTTGAGCCTGCTGACGTGTGGAGGTCCAGGGTGAGGGAGCTATTAAGAGAGCCAGACTAGGGCCAGCTAGTTAGGTTAGTGAGTTAGGTTCTAATCCCTGCTCAGCTATGAAGCTGAACCCTGGGCCCATTGACTCTCTTGGCAGCAATCCTCTGGGGATGCTGGGAACCCTCAGGGGATTATGGGCATTCTGAACATGAAGGTGCAGCTCATTTCCGCACTCATCCTACCCCAAAGAAGCAGCCAGAGGGCTGCTTTTCGCCAACAGAGACACTCCAGAGCGGAAGGGAAGGCAGCTGAGGTGTGGCCAGGGTCTGTCCTGTCCTTGTGGGCCAGTCCCCTCCTCTCCCCACTCCCATTCATGCCCCCCAAGCCTCTTCTTCAGGCTCACCTTTGCAGCTGGTACCTGCAGAGGGACCCTTGTGAGTGGAGTCCGAGCTCTGGCATCACAGCTGTTTTCCAGCATTACAGCAGGGACTCCAGCAAATCCCGTGGCCTCCCGGTGCTGTCCAGGGGCCAGAGGATTGCTCTGCCTACTGCACGGTGCTCTTGTAAGGATCAAACTGAGGAATCGTCGTGTGGTGCTCTGAGTCTGTATATAGGAACTAGTGGCTTAGCTCAACAGCAGGAGGTCTGGACTAGATCAGGCCTGGGGCACAACTTGTAACCTGCCAGGCAGGACCAAAACCTCCCCCCCCCCCCCATTTTGGCCATCCAAACCAGGGAGCCAAAGCAGGAAGGCAAGTGACTCTGACGAAAGTTGCCATCTTCAGAAAGATCCCACTAGCCTGCTGGGGGCTGCAAGATGGACCAAGTGCTCCTCTCTTACTCCTGCAGAACTTGCCAGCTTTTTATTCTGGGTGAGGAGGTGGAGGAGAACCTGCCCCGCTCTGTCAGGCTGCTTCATTCTCCTGCACGCAGCTCCTCTTTGCCCGGGCAAACAGACGAGGCTCCAGCATTCGGAAGCCTTTGGGCAGGGCTTCCCCCACATGCCTCCCTCCCACACCGAGACTGCCTGCTCAGCGCCACTGTCCACAGCCGCTTCTGCTTCTCGCCTGCCTTCTCATCACTGCTGCCGCTTGACTGCTGGCTTTGCAAGCAAAGAGCCAGCGGATCCACTCCTCCTCCTCTCCGCCTCTGCTGCCAGGGCCAGAGCAAGAATGAGCAGGCTGGTGAAAGAGCAGCTCCAGGGGCTCTTGCAGGAGGGGACTTGATGGAGTGTGAGCCCCAGACAGGTGCCCAAGCACGCCCTGTTTGACAGTGCTCACGCCACCCTTGCAGCCCCCACCTGGCTGCCCATCACCGTGTGAGGCCTGCAGGAGCCAGTGGTTCCTGGCATCGATGCAAGGCTGCCTGCCTAGGAGTGGCTACAGGTGATTGGGGACTGCGCTCAGCTTGGGGCTGTCCATTTTTGCAGGCCTTGGTTCGTGGGCCCACGTTCCCTCCAACACATATAGCAAAATGTCCTTCCGGAGGACAAAGGTCAGCTATGTCAGTTAAGCAAGACGGTGGTGCTACCCAGAAGCTGAAAGAAACCGTGTGTCTCTGTGGCAAAAGTGGAACCGATGCTGGAGAACTGGCAACAGGGACAGATGTGAGGGAGAAAAGAGCAGCAAGGCCATACAAATCAGTGGCCCACAGACTCCAAGAAGTCTGGCACACAGCCATCCTCATCGCAAGCAGGGAATTCCACACTGGCTGTAAAGCAACACACACCTCTGCTGGTGCCTCTCCTTCAGCCCAAGAACATACCTGGACCACAGGAAGAGGGGACAACAATCTCTTCTGTGAAGACGACGCAGGCCCCTCATTCTAGCAGTGTTGTGTGTCTTCTCCAGAGAAAAGATTGCTACTGCTTGTGTTTCGCAACATGTGGGCAGTGCTGGGTTAAAAAGCACCCCCTGGATCTGGGCTCTGGAGCCCCACGTGACAAAGACATGGGAAACTGCCTTCTCTAGCAAGTATTGGTCCTTCCAGCTCTGCCTTTTCCCCAGCCGTCTGTGATCTGGTGCCCTCTAGATGGGTTGGACTACCTCTGCTGGTCTCAGCATTCCTGGCCAGCATCGGCCTGCATTCAGAGAGGGATAGGAGCTGCAGTGCCACCCAGCCTTCCCCAACCTTGTATCTTCCAGGCACATTTGAACCACCACACACACAATTCCCAGACAATGGTCCTGCTGGGTGGGAATTATGGGATTTGTGGTCCAAATGCCTCCGAAGACCACCAGGTTTGGGGAAGGCTGGTCCAACCCATCTAGAGGGAATCGGGTTGGAGAAGGCTGGTCCGTGCCGAATAGCAATGGTTCTGTTGGGAATTGACCGGCGGTTTCTGAATGCAGTCTGTGCTCTTCCACTTGGCCATCGCACCTTCTGCACAGACGTGGCAGGACTGACCCGCACGCCACTTCCTCACATTACCTGACATTGTAGAGCGGCTGCTGGAGATGAGGCCAGGAGATGCCTTCCCCGTGGTTCTGATGGGGAAACGGGCAACCGAGGGAAGTAAAGGCGTCCTCGAGTCCTTCCCCACCTTTTCTGGCCGGCTGCCTCTGGGTCGGGCCTCCCCAAGGCAGTGTTCTCACAGCCACTCAGAGTGGTTCCGATGGCTGCCTCCCTCAGTTTGGCACCGGAGATGGGCAACAGAAAGGGTTTCCATGGGCTCACATCTCGGTGCTATGCACAGAACTGCATCCCAGCACAGCAGAATCCCATGGGTGCCATTTCATGCCACGGAGCTTGGGGTGGGATGCCTTTACCCACATTGAGAAGACGAGGTCTTCAGTGAGAGCCGAAGGAAGTGCAATTGAACGTGCAGTTAAAAGTGTGGTGCTGAAAAGGTACAATTCTTGCAAAGTTATTTTAAGTAATACTTTATTTAATATTCTGCTTTTCTTATACAGCTCAGAAGCAGTGAACAGTGCCATCGGGCAGACGTGCCCAACCTGGGGCTCTCCAGATGTGTTGAACTACAATGTCTACCATCCCTAGCCAGTGTGGCCCACGTGGGGGTTGTATCCCAACACATCAGGAGGACTCCCGTTCAGGGAAGCGTGCCATAGCAATGGATGGGAACCCCAACAAGTGGCAAGTGAATGGGGGCTGCATGATACCCGCAGAAGCCTGGGAACAGTGGATTAGGTTGCCATCCCGTTTCCCCAACAGAAACTTGGCACCTTTAACAGCAGCACGACAGGCAGACGTTCAGAACAAACGGGGGACAGAGTGCTTCCGCAATTAGCATTAGTGAGCAGAGCAGTGTACAGTAAGTGAGACTTTGGGAACAGAGGGCAGCTGTGGAAGAGGGGGGGTCAAGCGTGCAGTTTGAGAAGGGGGAAAAGGAGGTACAGAGTAGGAAGCAGTCCTCCAGACAGGTTTTGGACTTCAACTCCCAGCATTCCTGATCTCTGATCATGCTGGAAGAAAGAGGCTTCTTGGAGCCGGAGTCCCAGATATCTGGAGATCTACTTCGTAGGTTTCGCAGGGGGGCATCATCTGGGTTTGTGGAACACCTCAGCCACCCGGGGATAGGCACCCCTTCCAGCTGTAACTCTGACACTTGGGGAGCAGGCCTGTCAAAAGCTGAACCCCCAAGTGGGAGGCATGTCATCAGGATGGCTCCCCCTCCAGACGAGTGCAGGGGTGGATGGCTGCTCCTATTTCTTCACTTTGGCATCGTAGGTGCCCGCGTTCTTGTAGGCCGCCACATAGCCGCTGGTGTCCACGATGTTCTCCCGCCCGCTCTTGCCTTTGCCTTTCCCGCTCTCATCAAAGCGCTCCTTGTGGGAGCCCGTGTACTTGGATGTGTCGGTGAGCCTCTCCACCGCACCCACAGACTTGGCTTTCTGCAGATCACAAAACCGAGGCAGGGGTCAGAAGCATTCCTTGTTCAACACAGTGCCCCAGCTGCCACACTTGCGTGGGGGCCTGTACAACAACACCCCACCTCCAGCTGTCTAAAATGGTCTTTTCCAGCCCTGTGCTGGCAGGGGGGCAGGGAAGTGTAATCCATGTAGGAAGCGGCTTTAGGCCACGTCAGACCCTTGGTCCACCTAGACCAGCATTCCTGACACAGGCTGGCAGTCACTCTCCGTGCTTCCGGGCAGGGTTCCTTCTCAGCGCTGCCTGGAGGTGCTGGGATTGAACCTGGTGCCCTGCGTGCCAAGCAAGTGCTCTCTCTGCAAGCTGCACCCTTCCTGGCCAACCTAGAAACCTGCCCCCAGTTTCTGTAAAACAAATAGTGAAAGTACAGGATGTTGTGCCCAACCATGAGGCTACTTAATCTGAAAGGCCCAACAGACGCCTCTTTGCACAAATAGGAGTACGTCTTTTAAAAGCTGTGTTATGTTTTTTGAGTTAGTGGTCATTCTCATGCTTTCAGATAACAACACTGGGGGCTTAACTACATGTGATTAGCAAGGTGATTAGCCATCAAGTCATAAAATCAAAGGCAGACCATCAACTTTGTAAAATCAAAGGCAGACCATCGAGATGGCATCACTCAAGGAGAAGCTTAAACCTTTCCCCCACAGCCATCATAGAAATGTTATAATCATCATCATCATCATCATCATCATCATCATCATCATTCCTGTGAAATCATCCTCCCTCCACTGCATGGCAAGTAGCCTAGGAAAATCACCTCTGCTGGAGGCCGTTTCTCCCCCCCCCCCCCGCACCCCAATGCGAGCTGCCGCTGCACAATGCATGCCAAGTGACCAGGGGAGCCCCACGTGGCTTCCCAAGACTGAGCCTGGGGAAAGGAGGCCTGAGCCAGCCACCCCCACGTGCTGCAGGGCCAAAAACTCCTTGCAATTTTAAAAAACGTTTAAAAATGGCTGATTGTGACATTATTGACACATGTCGTTTGCTTACATTTATCTATTTCTAAACACACACACACACACACACAATGTGTATTCTGTACTTGTGGTGTTTATGCAGGACAGTCGTGTGGCTGCCCGTGGGGATCACAGCCTTCCCAGTGTCTCAACTGCTCTTGCCCTGCTTCAGGGACCCTGATCCCAGCCTGGGGTCTGATCACCACCACCACCCAAGGACCTTCCTTCTCCCCGCAGTGGCAGCAGCTACTCACAGTGACGCCCACGTTGGCTGGCTCTTTGCCTGCCACCAGCTCGCAGATGGATTCAAACGCTTCCTCTTTGCTTTTGTCCTTAAATCTCTTTGGGGCCAGCTCCTCCAGGGCCTTCTTGAACTCTGTGTAGTTGATGACTCTGGCCGTTTTCCCTCTGGAGCAGAGTGGGCACACGGGAGTCAGAGCCATGGCACGGGGTGCAGCTGTGATGGGGGTGGCAGCACCTACCTCCCCCCCTCCACCCTCTGGAGCAACAGGGTCTTTTGGCAGCCCTCCAGACAGCTGAAGGCCACACTCGTGTCTCCTTCATGTCTTCTCCAGCCTAAGATACACATCTCTGTGACCTGTCCCTCATAGGCCCGGGTTTCCAGAACCCTCCCTAGACTGCCTCAGGGCCCTTCTTAAAATGTGGCACCCAGAACTGTAGTCCAGCTGTGTTCTGACCAGGACAGAATAAAGTGGAACGATTTCTTTTTACAATCTGAACACGGTGCAGTCCAAGAGTGCCTCTACCACTTCCTCACCCAAGCTGTTCATTCCCTGAGAGGCCTCTGCGTGCTCGCAGTTGGGCAAGTCACCTGATCTCCACTGGACCAGCTGGCCCATGCTCTAGTCTCCCCCCTCCCCTGACACACACCCTTCTCATGGGGCTCTGGCACTCTCTGGATCTGCTGGCGCTTCACAGCTCAAGGGTGCCTTGTGTGCTTTTACAAGTGCTACCTATGCCGTCAGAGACGTCAGCGCCAGTGAGTTCAGTGGAACCTGCTTCCAGGCAGCCCCTGAAAACCTCACTGTGAGATGTTATTACGGTCCTTGTTTTGGCTGGCTGTGTTTTCAGATGCAGTTTTTATAACTAGAGAGCTAGCTCCTTCAAGTACAAAGACTAGAAGCCAGGATATAAGCGTATATATATAACCTGCAGGTGTGACTGGGGCTTCTTTTGAGGTGTGGCGGGTTAGTGTCTGCATCTTAGAGTGCATCCCTATACACTGGCCCCTGAACAAATACCAGGTGTGCATTCTAACTCTGCACCCATTTCTGAGATTTGTAAGGTCAGGTACGAGACTGATCCCTGGGAAGGGTCAATCTCAGTTTCTCTCCTTTCACAAATGAAATTCAAGTTGCTGCAGCAACCAAAGTGCTTTCCCACAGAAGGGGAGACAAGCAATCTAGCCATGTTGTGTGCAGCCCTGTTTCCCAAACAGTAGCAAACACTGAGCGGATAGAAAAGACAAGCAGATCCATTCCTGCCAATATTGCTGAATCAAACCAGGACAGCACAATCGAGCACCACGCTCTATTTCCAGGAAGCACAGATGTGATACACAACAGTGCCAGACTGAAACAGGCACTGAGCCAATGGGCCAGTTTTCTGGTGTTAGTTTTTTAAGCTGGCATTTGGCACTGAAACACAAGCCTCATTTTTGTGGGATGGACTGTTTTCCACTGTGCCTGCAGCTGGGCAAAAGACAGCATGCGTTCTGAATGTATGCAGAGATTCTACCCTGCCACGATATGGGTTTTCAGTAAAATTTTGAATTAAAACTTTTTCCAGAAATCCCCCCACTGCTCTAAAGTCTGTTTTAGTATGTTTGACTTCTATTTAGTAAACAAAAACAATGCTGTGTTGCTTCTACAAGCATGCTACATAAATTTATGGCATTTTTATGGCAATTGATTTCCACAGGATATAGTACTGGCCACACATTGGATGGATTTAAAAGGGGGTTAGACAAATCAAGAAGAGGGCTATTAGTGGCTACTAGTCCTCATGGCTCTATATCACCTTTGGTAGCAAGGCTGAATGACTCTGTATACCTGTTGCTGGGGAACATGAACAGGAGGGTGCTAAAATGGTGTGCACGTTCTGTTTGTGGGCTGCTCATGGCATCTAGGTGGCTGCTGTAGGAACAGAAACCGAACTGGGTAGGTTTGACTGAGCATAGCACTTTTCACGGCCTTGTGCTCTCACAACCAGCTTTGGCCTTTTTAAGCCTGCTTGTACCTGAGATCAAAAGGGAAGTACGTATGAATCAACTCCTAGGACATTTGTATGTGGAGCCAAGGTTTCAGGATTCTGGCTGGAACTTTCCAGGACCTGAGCTTCCCGTTTTCATAAATTAAAGGTTGGCACAAAATAGGAGGGGTAGGAAATGGGATCAGAAGAGACACGTACTTCACCTTGCTGAAGACAATGTCCACGTCTGTGCTGGTGACTCCTTTGCCATCAATGACTTTGCAATCCTTGCACAGCTTGGACCAGTTCTTGCCATTCATTTCTTGCCCTGTGGCTTTGGTATCCCCATAGATGGCAAACTTCCGGAAGCTCTCCTCCAATGCCGCCACATCTGTACTCGTGGCCATGATGTCCTGCAAACACAGGGGCATCTGCTCAGATCCAGGCAAAATGGCCCTCATATATACCAAAGGCACAGAGCCTCTGGTAGACTGAAGGCCAAATTCCCGTTCAGATAAGCTCTTGGGGACTTTGGAGACCCCTTGACCTGGACAGGTGATGGGAGTCATTGGCTGCAGTGCCTCAAGAGGCAAGATTCCTTGGGTGACACGGGGAGCTCTCATCCAGAATGTCAGGGAGCACCACCTTGGGAAAGGCAAGGGATTAACCCAGGCCATTCTGGCCTGGATCCAGGTACGGTTCTGCCATAAATGTTACTGCAGATTCCAGATAAGTCCCATCACTCTTTCAGGAGGCTCTGAGCCATATTGATCACCTCCAGGAGCAGTCATGGCATCCGTGTGCTTGTACTCCATGGAGACACAGAAGATCCAGGTGACAATTGGGGATACACCTGTCAGTCAAGGTGCACAGAAGCCAGCTGGGTGGAGGAGATGATGCTTGCTTTGGGGTCAGCAAGGTGCAGCTCACAGAGAAACATAAAACTGTTGGGTATGAATGCATTATCACCATCATCCACACAGTCCATCAAAATTCTGGGCACCACACTTTAGGAAAGGTGTAGGCAAATTAGAAAAAGTTCATAGGAGGGCAACAAATACGATCAGGAAACTGGAAACAAGACCCTGTGAGGAGAGACTGAAAGAACTGGCATGCTTAGCCTCAAGAAGAGAACGCTGAGGAGTGATATGATAGCACTGGACAAGTACTTGAAAAGCAGGCCAGGACCTCTTCTCGACCATCCCAAAGTGCAGGACGTGGAATAATGGGCCCAAGTTCCAGGATGCCAGGTTGGAAAGTGGAATAGTATCGTGCTGGCGAGAGCAGCACAACAATGGCAGCAATTGCCTGGGGGCACCGTGGGCTCTCCCACACTGGAGGCATTCGGGGGCAGTTGGAGAGTCCCCCTGCTGGGGACGCTTCCACTTGGAGCCATGCATTGCGCAGGGAGGGGTCGGTTCAGCGGCCTTATAGGCCCCTTCCAACTGTTTTCCTATAAAAATCAACCCCTCTCTGCCCTGTCTCACAGAGTGGAGAACCATGTTTACTCGTTTCTTCGTTGGAAGGTCAGTCCTGAGAATAGGAAGAGTCTCTTAACACTAGTGAACCGCTCTCTTTCCTGGAATTATTTCTTGCTAGAGGTTTGCTTGTATTAGGATAACAGGCATCCTGTGAGAAAGATCACAACCCTACTCAGAGACTGCCGTGTTGAGAGGTCGTTACCACAGAGGATAAGAGCGAAGCTGGAGGTGTGGCATTCTAAAAACTGCATGGACAGACACACCTACTCCTTCCCCCTTCACCTTGATATGTGAAAGAGACAGACCTGGATTTAAGCAAAACACTTCAGCTCCATCAAATCTAATTGGTTTTCAAGGAAGGGGGAGTATTTAGGAGCCAGTGGGAGAGAGCAGGAGAGCTTGCAGCGTTGAATTAGGGCCAGGAATATTCATCCTCAAGTCCCTCTCAGGCATAAAATATACTAGGTGACTTTGGACTGGTCTCTGCCTCTCAGCCCAAGATAACTCACAGGACTGTTGTACGTGGAGGGTGAAACTATATACACCGCCTTCAACTCCTGGGTTAAAATGATGTGGAAGCTGTAATTGTGTATTTCAAAGAAGCATAGCCTCTATAAAAGACTGATGAACTCAAGACTGTCACATAATTTTTACAGAATCTTGTTTGGGTCTGGATAAATGCCAATGCCATTTTTTGTGTGTGTTGGGGCTGCTTTCTCTTTGAGGTCAATTCCCCGACAAATATTAGGAAGGTCTCCGGCCTGGTCCTTCCCTTGGGAAAAGCTCTCCATTTCTCATGGGCATTTGCCCTTAACTGACCCTTTCCTCTGGCTGCCGGCCAGGATCCACCCATGCCCAGGGCAGGCTGTTGGGGCAACCGCCAGCTTCCTGGGCTGGGGTTGCCAGGTTCAGGACCTTGGTTACAGCCTGACATTAAACAAAAACAGGCGTGTGGGCTTGGCTGCTAGGGCATCCAGAGTTTGTGTTGCCTGGTAACAGTTGCTATGGGCGGGTTGTGCTACTTGGACACTGTTGCTGCAGAGATGAGGGTGTGAATTAACATGTGTGCTTAGCTCCACACAGACAGACACACAAACACTCGTGTGCATGAACTTTCCTCCAAGCTTGAAACTTCTCCCACTGCTGAGCTGAGACAGCTCCTGGAAATGGGCATCAGGGTGTATCACAGCTCAGGAGAACGAGATGGAGAAGCCTCGAAGTAACGCATGCAGCCCCAAACACATATGTGCTGCATGTATGCACACCCCCTTGCACAGAAGTGTATGTAGCAGGTGGATGAACACACAACTGTAAAGGGGGGCACCTGTCACAAGGCTCAGGTGTTTGGTTTTCACCACTGAGGTGCAGTCAGGTAGAGGTCTGAGCAGTTACACAGACATACCTGAGCAGACCCCCCCCCCCCCAAGGAGGTATGGCTGCATCATCATTAATTTCAAGCAAGAGAACTGCCCACTCTCTGCAGCCTCTTCCCTTATCGCATTTGTGGAAGTGAGCTGTGGTTCTTCCCCAGTGAGACAAAAGCCCGCTGTCCATGGTCTGCCCCGTTTCTTTATGCAGTCCAGGGTTCAAGGTTGGCCCTGAAAACCAGTTCTCGAATGGACTGCCTCCAGCATGCACGTAGGTACGCTACAGGTATGTACAGAAGTGCAAATATGGACTTACCCAGAGATTCCTGACTTTTCAATATGGAGTCAATTTAGTGCATTTATGTGCTTTACCCCTGAGTATGTCCCAAGGGAGGCATGCCGTGTGGCCAACAACACCTTTTCTGGAAATTAAAAACAATTGTTTGCTGCCCGTTTGTGTCTCACAATAACCCTCTGGGATCAGCTAAGCAAGTGGACACTGACTTGGCCACGGTCCCCTGTAGGGACCTTCTGTCCTAGTCCAACATCCAAACGCCAGCCTCCCTCCAGCTGGTGCCCCCCAGATGTGTGGAACAACTCCCAACATCCCCAGGCAGCATGGCCATGTTGGCTAAGAATGACACTGGCAAGAACTAAGATGAGGAAGGCTATTCTAACGCCAACCCCACACTGAATCTCCACTTTGCCAGATTTTGCACACACACGCACCCAAACACGTTATTAACATAAAGATGTGCACCTTTCCAAGGAGGTGCTTGAGGCAGCAAACACAAATGAGTCATGCACAGAAATGCATAATTCTACATAAAACAAAATGAAAAACCCAGATATCCAATCTAACTCCAAAATGCAAAGAGCCCTAAACATCTGGAGGTTTCAAGCTAAAGCTAGTTTAGGGGCACATACTTTATGTAAGGTTTGCTGCCTGAGAGGACCCATTTACCCCATAGCCATGGGAATTCTTTTTTATTTTAGGGACACTCACCTGCCATGTTTATAGTAGGCAAATCCACTGTCATCACAGCAAATATGATGGACAAGTAAACCGCAAAGCAGCCAGGTAGAGGAACTGAAGCTCTCAACCCTCTCCTTTAATTAAAATACTTCTTCTATTCTGCCTTTGACCAGCTGCTCGAATTACTGGCTCAAGCATTGCTCAAGGTATTTAAGCACTCCTTTCATCAGATTGCCTAGTTAGTTCAGGCATGACACACGGCTGGCTGGTGGTGTCCTCTCCAAAAGACTTGGATACATAAACAAACAAATACAGATGTGCAATTTGTGGTGGCAACGCAGAGCTCACCCATATGAAATGCTGGTTCGGCTCAGACTTCGTACCAAAATGGTCACGCATTCTGAACAAGTATTTCTGCTTCTTAGTCAATCCTAATCCTTTAGTGCCCTTTTGAGACTTTGGGATTCCTTTGAACATTGTGACACTTTTCTGTGCAGACTTCACTGATCTACCACAAGTGTGATGTATATCATGTGTTCTGTATGGTTGTTGTAGTCATACGGCTTATCTCATATTTTTAACTGGTTTGTGTATGCTGCCCATACATAAACAAGAAAACCTTGTTTATGGGGCAGCCAAGTTCATAAATACTAAATATATGTGTCCATTGATGTGACTAGATTTAAGTCCCCAAATGAGAAGTTTGCAGCCAAGTGAAAGGGGTCAGAGGTAAAAGAGGGGCAAAATCTGCCTTCTCTCTTCATCTTTTTAGGGGCAATACCCACTGGTATTCCTGTTAGCTCCATTCAGCCAGTGGCTGCCTCTTTTCTTTTTTTGCCCCAAAGTCCAAGGACAAGGCTACATCAGCACAACATGGGCATTCTGGAGATTAAAAAATGGAATCCATCAGCCAAATGGCCTTCAGGCTCCATTATACAGGAGACAGATTGCATTCTGGTTATATTTCTATCCTACTGTCGCTCCAGAGAGTTCACAGTATGTACATTGTACATGGTCTGGTCTCCCACACTGGAGACATTCAGGAAGAAACTGGGCAGTCATCTGAGTGGGATGGTGTGACTTGGTGTCCTGCAACAGCAGGCGGTTGGACCCGATGCCCTTCATGGCCCCTTCCAACTCTACAATTCTATGTTGTTATGCTCCCAACAGCCCTGTGAGTTGGGTTGCGTTGAGACACATTCTCAGGCCCAAACTCACTCAGTGAGGTTCATAGGTGAGTGCGGATTTGAACCTAGGTCTCCCCAGTCATAGGTCAACACCATCTGTACAGCAGAACTACATTCAACCGCACAGTCAAAGAATATTGATATTTATTCAGTCCACAGGAACATCAGGAGCTAAAATTGTGAATCAGGCTCTTGGTCCATCAAGCCACTGTTGGCACGGACTGGCAGCTGCTTCAGCTGCTTTCCCAGGATTCTACTCTACTCGAAGATGAAAGGAACTGAACCCAGAAATTCTGTACACAAAACAAGTGCATTAGCTCTGAGCTATTGCTCTTCCTGGATACCCAAACTCCAAAACATGAACCTTGGTAGCAGGTGGCAATAGCATCAACACTGCAAGTCAATCCCCGTTTCACAATATTCTGAAGACTATGTCCCTCCCAGCCTGACCAAACAGAACATTTCACTGCAGGGTGTACTAAAAGAGTGACCCCAAATGGCTGCTAGAATCCACTGGGCCCGTGATCTGGGGAATAAGATCCAGAGGAGATGATACAGTAGCAGGTGTTACTTGTGTTTAATGTTTTGAAGGTTGGATGAAGGATCTGCCTTCTGTGAACAGAAGGGCTCCCCTCACAAAAGGTGCCTCAACCCAGTTTGGGGTCGTCGCCCCCCCCCCCCCCGAGCTCATTCCATGCAGCATGGTTTCTGCTTTTGTGTGTCAGGAAGAATGGATGATGCTCCATGGAGAAAAGGCAGGGATATCTGTTTCTGCTTGCCCAGTTCCACTTTACCTCAGCCTGGCTCCAACTCTGGGGAGTTTTTCCCCCTGAGAGAAGCAGGGCAGAACTCCAGTGACAAATGCAATATGGGGGGGGGGAGTGGGAGATTTTCTTTGGCAATCCAGCTGTGCCAGCTGAAAAAATTGGAGTAGAAACTCTTCCTTTAATCATGCAATTTTTCAGCTCCATGCATGAAATATTCCTTATGGGGGAATACACAATACTTTTATGTTCTTGAGTTTTGTGATATTGTAAAATATCCCTCAGTATGCTTGAAATAAAGCATATTAACAAGTGCATGGATAATATTTAGTCCTTTTCAAAAACATTGACAAACATATGGCCCAGGTGAAAATCCAGGATGGTATGATGTCTGGAAATGAAATATTAGGACGGGTGGCTAAACTAGTTGGATACATTTAGCCTGAAGAAATGAAGATTAAAGGGAAACATGATGTCAGTCTTCAAATACCTGAGAAGCTGCTGTGCAGAGCAGGCATGTTATCTGCTGCTCTGGAAAGGAGGACTGGAACCAATATGCAGAAATTCCAAGGGAACTGAGTTTACAGAACATTAGTAGAGCCCTTCTAATGGTTAAGAGCTGCTTGAAAATGGAGCAGGCTGGTCTGAGAGGTGGTGGCCATCTTTCGCTGGAAGTACTTCAGCAGAGGATGAATAGCTATCCATAGCTGTGGATCCTGCGCTGAGTATGAAAGTTTGCTTAGATGTTCTTTGCAGATCCTTCCAACCCTAACATTATCAGTCATCTAACTTCAGTTTAGAAGTAAGGTGCCCCCAATTAACATTTTAAAGTGTCATTCAATTTTATTACTATTACCTCAAGTACTTATAAAAACTGCAGGCAGCAAGCAGTATCTTGAATAAAAGAACCATTCTTTTCTTGCCTCTTCTACTATCAGGCCTGCCTTTCCCCCCAGGGTTCTTCTCACATGCCAATGAATGCAGATTTATGATGCAATGCTATTGCATGTTCCTTTGAAAGTAAAGTCCATGGAGGTCAATGAGTCTTTGTCAATTAGGAATTAGTTTTCAGTGCCAGATCCGGAGCTCATATATACATCTTTTCACACCAAATTTACTCCAGTTTCCCCATGAGCATTCTTGGGTTTGGCAGCCTAATTTAAGAGGGAAGAAAGGCTGTTTGTTTTCACTACTGTTACACTATTGGGAGTCAAAACTCCTTGCTGTTTCCCAGAAACCGGACTGCTGATCCTGGTTTTGGAAACACTGCCCTATGAAAAGAGACTGAGAGAACTGGGCATGTTCAGCCTTGAGAAGAGAAGACTGAGGGGGGACATGATATCCCTCTATCAGTACCTCAAAGGCTGTCACAAAGAGGAAGGTCAAGATCTCTTCTTGCCGATGCCAGAGCATAGGACATGGAATAATCAGTTCAAGTTGTGGCAACCCAGATTCAGGCTGGACATCAGGAAAAGCTTCCTCACTGTCAAAGCAATACAACAGTGGGACCAGCTGCCTGGAGAAGTTGTGGGCCCTCGCACATCAGAGACATTCAGAAAGAAACTCAACAGTCATCTGAGTGGGACGATGTAAACTGGTGACCTGCAAACAGCGGGATCTTGGCTCCGGTGGCCATCTTGGCCCCTTCCAACCTTACTCTTCTATGATTAGCCTGCCTCGGTCCACTGGTACTGGCAGCACGTCGCAGTAATTCTTGCACGTCAACTTCTACCTGATCCTTTAAGCTAGAAGTGCTAGGAACTGAACATGAAAACTCCTGCCTGCATCATTTTCTGATTTTCACAAAAATTTTAAATTGACTAGGCTTTCCACTCCAGGAACAGCTGAAGGCAGGTGCTGGCCCTTCAGCAGACCAGTGGGCCACTTCCAGTAGGCATCCATCTCGCACTTGTTGGCTTGCTGGAATTCTAGCAGGGAATCTGAGCCAAGGCGGCTTTCTTGGTTTGATTTTGCAAGACAGTTCCTCCTTTATCAGCAAGAGGGAATAGGCAGAATCACTTCACACTAACCTGTGATGCTTTGGTAGTTAAAAGATCCTGTGTTGCAAAGCATCAGTAAACCTAGCGGGAGGCGGTCTAAGAAAAGAATTGGCAAAAGCAGAGAACGTTCCAGTGAAGTCAACCCAGCACAGCACAGGCATTTTCAAGTGTTTGTCAGTAATACCAAAAGAAATTTAAGGCTTCAAGTGGAGAGTGGGGAAAAGCCCTCTTACAGGCTGTAATCTTATGCCAATTAACCTGGAAATAAGCCACAGTAAACTTCATAAACTTCATTTGAGCAGCATTCCCTTTTTTTGCATTGTCCCTATGAGGTGAGGAAGAAATCGCTCGTCTTTGATTGATATTTGCACATAAAACAACAGGCACCCAAGGGGAGCCTTTTAGGAGTCATCCGCGACCACGCCAACGCGGGTGGAGCGCAGAACCGGGGAATGAAACGGGCCTCCAGGCAGAGCTGGTGGGGGATCAGGTCCTCCACGCGCAGGTTCGCAAAGCGCCAGCCAGTTCTTTGCGCTGCAACGTTGAATTACTCAGGACCTATGTTAAGGGATCCCCCCGCCCCCGCTTTCAGTCATCTAGGAACTGGAGAGTTGCGCATGGAAAAGGGAGCAGGAGAAGGAAGAGTTACTCCGAATTCGTTAATCCGGAGCAAAATGAGATCACCTTGTGCGGGCTGCAACAGCAGGGCGCGCTCCTCCCCGCGCTGCCGCCGTGAAGTTCCGCGCACTGTCAGCCCTGATTCTCTGCACCGCGTTTATTCCGCAGCAAGCCCCACCGACCCGCTGGACTTCCCTTCTGGATCGCCAGCTTACCCACTGGCCGGATCGGGGAGGGCAGGGCGGCGGCGGCGGCGGCACAGACCAGGCTGCCCGTGCAAGCAGCCTCGTGGTCGCAGGTCGCGGCTGGGCGGCCATGCAGCCGGCGCTCCCGCCAGCCTCCGAGCGCAGCCCCGGAGAGCCGCCAGCCTGAGGTCCCCGCGCCCGCCCCGCACCGCGCGGTCTTACCTGCTCGCCGTCTGCACCGCCGCGCTGCGCTGCGCCGCGCCGCCTCGCAAGCCCGCTGGCTCTCGCTGCGCGCCGCGGCGGCCGTGGGCGCGGCTCAGCTGTTGACTGCCGTCTCCATAGAGACCCCCGCGGCACAGCCGGGGCGGGCGGGCGGGGCCGAGGCGCCGCCCTTGCCTGCAGTGGGCCGACGCAGCCGCTCGCGGCGCTCGGCGGAGCCGCGGCCCGGCGCCAAATGGGCCATTAGTGCAACCTCCTCCTGGCTGCGGAACCTCGCCGCGGAAGAGAAGGACATCGCGGGGACGCCGGGTGAGCGGGCGTGCGGAGAAGGAAGCCAGAGCTGGTTGGCTACATCTGCCTTTTAGTTCTCGCAATAAGCCCTTCCGCATCTCTTTTGCTTCATCCCTGTTGTTTTCCAGAAGCCGCACTATCATCAGGTCTTGGCTCCCTGACCTGTTTTGCAGTCTTGATCATATGAACTAGTATCGTCTTAGGCTGTGTGTACAAGCCTCTCCCCGCCCCCCAGATGCTTAGGAATCACGTTCTTGCACCCTGAGGATCGTGAAAGTATAACGGTGGGTTCCTGGAATTTTTTTTTTCATTTTCAAGATACACAAGAATATAAGATATTACCTTCCAACCCTGTTCACTTTCCTGCGACTGAGAGTGGCTTTCCTCCATTTGCTAACTACAGATCCTTTTTTTTTTTTTTAATTGGAGATGCCAACGAAGTCTGGCCTAGCCATCTTCTGTATACAAATCAGGTGCCATAACAAGAACTACAACCTTCCCTCTTCCCCTCCCCCAAACACCCCATAGTCATCCACCTCCCCCAGTTCCCGAACAAGCACCACCCAAGCTTCAGAGGAGCTTTCAACAGATTGTGTGCAGGACACGTTTTTTCCTTGTACACGGGGAGCAGTTGGCACATGTTCAGATTACTCTTGGTATCAACTTGCCCTTGAGGTTCACTCCACCACCTACTGAGATAATAAGGAAAGGCTTTCTCAGAATGGGGGCGCCAGGTCTGAAAAATACACTTAGACACAGTTGTATTGCCTGGAATATATCCCCAGTCCCAACTTTCTTAATACCAATTATTTGGCCTGAGATGAGCTGGCAGGTGAACACTAGCACCAGACACACAAGATTTTATAGATTACATAAAATGTGCATATGCCAATTTATATAGAAACAAAGCAATTTAGAAGGGGCTTCTAAACTGAAGTCTGGGGGGGGGGAGATGGCCACGATAGTGCCCGTCTCCTCCCCCCAAGTGTGCCCACAATTGCGCCTGTCTTCCCTGCATGAGCAAGACCTCAATCGTGCCTGTCTCCGCCCCCCCCCCCAGCATGCTCACAATCATGCTCGTCTCCCCCCCACAGTGCACGGTCGTGCCCGTCTTCCTTGTGATTAAAAAAAATATTTACAGCACAGATTAACCTTATTTACAATGAACCTTATGGGGGAATTTAACTTGTCTTGTGACCAATTTGGGTAGTGACCAGAGTCGTGGAACGGATTGAGTTCGTGAACCAAGGTACAACTGTATAGTTTGGCCCACATTTTTTAAGCAAACCAGGCGAATTACTGGCTGAATACAGAGGTCAGAACTTAATAGTACTGCAATACTTTTCTGAATTTAACAATGAGTTCTCACAATATATAAAAATGCATATTTTAGGGGGAAAGGCATTCCAGTTAAACTGAAATATTTTAATATGTATAATTTATTATATTGTATGAATATAATACATTGATTTTTTTAAAAAAATCAGAAAACAGAATGGAATAGAACTAAGACAGAATGTGACTGATCTGCAAGCATAATTTGCACAGGGAAAAATCCCAGAAGACAGGTAGCAGTGGTTGGAGAACTCTGCCGGATAGTAAGGGCAGTGTGGTGGAGCTGGATGAGTACAGTACCAGGCAGCTGCCCTGAGACCTCCCCTTTCAATATATTTTTCCCTCATGTCGGGGGCTCCAATATGCACTAGGAAAAACCAAGGGATTTTCCACAATGCCCTGATCTAAGAGGAGAGGAAGCAGAGCCCTTCCATTGTGCTTAGTCAATGTGGCAAAGCGGTTACAGTGTCAGTCCAGGGAAGTGGGAGCTCCCGTTTCTAGTCTCCACCTGGCCATGGGGTTCACAGACTGTCTTTGGGCCAGTCACAGATTGTCAGCCAACCTACCTCACAGAGTTGTTACTGGGAGGACAAAATGGAAAGGAAGAGAACCTTGTAAGCTGCCTGGGTTCCTCGCGAGAGGAAGAAAGGCAGGATATGAATGTGACCTGCATGACCTGCTGAATTTTGTAACTAGCAACAAAAGTCTCCCTGTGTGTTTCTCCTTTCCCTCTCAGTCCCTTTTCTATTTGAGTCCTTTAGGTTGCGCACTGGATGGAAGAGTTTTACTGTTTAGTATGTTTGGAGAGCCTTTTTGGCTGAAATGTCAGGGCGGGGAATGCTGCTACCAAGAAAGGGTACTTTAAAGGAGCACCAGTGATCCTTTCATAGAATAGTGGAATACAGTATACCCCCGTGAAGTCGCGGTTCAGCATTTGCTGCCTGAGTCTTTGGCAGAATTTTCCTTGGAACTGAACTAGTATGGTTCATGGAAACCCCCGCAATTTCGCGGAAACCGCTGATTGGCTGCTGCCCTGTGACGCATCTCTAGTGTTCGCTGAGTGTTCTCTGTTTTGTTCTTCTTGAAGCCCTAGGATGCCGCCCAAACGCTCCACACCTTCTAAGGCTTCTGGCAATGAACCTAAGCGCCAGAAGACGTTTAAAACACTCCAGGAGAAAGTTGAACTACTGGATTTGCTCTGGGAACTTAAAAGTTATGCTGCAGTTGCGAGCCATTATGGCATCAATAAGAGCACCGTACGCTACAGAAAGAATAATGAGGCAGCGACATATTTAGGGTTTAAATTATAAAAAAAGGCATTTTTATCACATTCAAAATTCACGGTTTTTCACAATTCGCGGGTGCTCGAGGACTGTGACCCCCGCGAATTTTGGGGGACTACTGCAGCAGGGTTGGAAGGGGCCAGAGAGCCATTAGGTACAACCCCTTGCTCAGTGCAGGGGTCCACGTTAAACCAAGGCAGTTCAAAGCTGGCCTAACTGAAGGTAGCACCCACTATCCCACAGCAGAGAGTCCAGATGAGCTGAAACGGGTGGCAACATGCAGCAGCTGCCACACACTGCTGTTATCACAGGTGATGAATGACCGGCACAGGGGCCTAGTCGGGGCCTATTTCCAAAATGGTTTCTACCACATTACGGGGGCAACATCCTAACTGTAAACAAAGCTGCAGCTTGCACTGGTCTGTGCTTAAGCGCCGTGCTTCCTTGCAGCTGCATGCTTCATTTAGGTTGACCTATGTGACCATCAGCAGCTTGCCCCAGAAAGCGCTACAAGCAGAAGGAGAGATGAGCAGACTCCTCCTCAGCTCAGTGGCAAAAAGCTGCGGTTTGGCCCTTCCTGTCTTCCTGCATGGATATTCCATCTGTTCATTCAGGAAGTGGAGAGTTCAGGTTCTT